CTCCCATCATTCTCTCCTTCTACAACTGTTTCTGCCACCCTGGCCCCTGCAGTTCCTCATTTATACCAAGAAACACTCTCCAGACACTTGTGGAGGATATTCAGCCACCAAACTATGGCTCTACCAGCTTAAAGCTGGCATCTGTTTTCATAGGGTAGTACTCACGTTTTACTGACTGACAAGTACTTTTGTGATTACCACTGTATTATAACCACACAGAAATTCGTTGGTCTGGTTCACATTTCCACTCAAAATTCATTAGGAGACCTTATATGATCACAATGATTTAAGAAAGCAGCTCTTCCTTATGCATACATCACAAAACCCTCACCCCTCACCATCATGCTGAGGTCATTACCTCCCTGACCTGTGTCATTTCATAGCATCTATTTTGCCCTCTGCTGTAATAAAGAACACTGCCTAGCACAGAGTGAGTGTTAAGTAAACATTTGCTAAGGAAATAAATACTGAATCATATATATTTATTATCAACCTCCTTTTCATTAAAATTTTAAATTATTTTAATAATTTAATCAAATAATTTTAAGGAATTAGGCACCTGAATGTAGATTTCAGGAAAAAGAATGTTAAATTGAATGTTAAACTGAATAGGACTTAAACATCAAAAACTATATCAGGAGCCTCTATAAAAGGAAAATCATTAAACAGTAATATTGGGAGAAGTAATTCTTCAGTATAAGGTAAAATAGTCTTTTTTTAAGATTTTATTTATTTATTTTTAGAGAGGGAAGGAAGGAAGAAAAAGAGAGAGAGAGAAACATCAATGTGTGGTTGCTGAGGGCCGTGGCCTGCAAACCAGGCATGTGCCCTGACTGGGAATCGAACCTGCAACACTTTGGTTCACAGCCCGAGCTCAATCCACTGAGCTACACCAGCCAGGGTATAAAATAGTCTTTAAGAGATGTTAAACTAAAATACATAAACAGAGTACCTAACGAAAAGTATAGCTTTCCTCTCATGTTTTTGTGTACATCTGTTTGACCATGTTGTTGCCACAAACCTGTCTCCTCACTACTAGCCAGTAGTTTCAGCCACAGAAAGATTTACTCTCCTCTAAAAAAATCTGCCTATAATATTCTAGCAACCCACACTAAATTCTGATAAGAAGCCAGGTACTTGATTCAAGGGGGCAGGCAAGCCATTTGTCTAAGATTCAACTTAATGCCTCACTGCCTAATACCCTTGAATTTAATCATGAACTTTAATTTCCATTCAGAAAGAAATTTCTTTAAAAAAACCCCAGCTAAATCTGAAGAAATATTAAATGTAACAAGTCAACCTATCAAGGCAGAATTTAATTATTAAATGTTAATTATGAAATGTTAAATTTGAACTAAATTAAATGTTAATTATTAACTAATAATTAAATGTTAATTATTAAATGTTAAAGGTGAACGAGATGTCTTTCTAACCTAAAATATAACCTAGGTATATTTTACCAAGTCTTACATTTTCCCAAAATCCCAGATCTCCAACACAGTATTACTATTTAATGATTTTCCTTTTATAAAATCTTATAGTTTTTGATATGTTAAAATCTTTTTCCACTTAACATTTTATGGAATCAAGGATACTTCATTTCCCTTGAACCCACATCCATGTTCCTTAAAAGAAACAGTTTATTCTGGTCTCTAAAGTCTAGACTTTATAATCCAGACAGACAGTAGTTAAGACCATGAGCTCAAACCTCACCTCTGAGTCCTATCGGTTGTGTTATCTTGTGCAAGTCATTTGTCATATTAAGCTTCAGCCCCTCATTCGTAATAGTGTATGGTGTTAATAACAGTAACATTGTGTTGGATTAATAGGAACACTTCATAGGAATATATAAGAGTTAAATGAAATAATGCATGTAAAAAGCTCAGCAAGTACCTGGCTTATAGCAATTGCTCAATGAATCCAATTTGTGAAAAAATATTTGCTGAACAGCTACTATGAGTCAGCAATGTTCTAGGTACTGGGGTAAGGCTGCGCTATCGTGAAGTGTAATGCTGGCCCTTATGAAACTTACATTTCACTTGGGGGACACAGGCTACTAAACTATATAATATAATGTCAGGTAAACATAACCATAACAGAGGGAAATGAAAAAGGGGAAGGAGGGAATGTAGGGGGGTGAAGTATCATTTCACACATCGTAGTCAGAAAAGGCCTGTCTGATGGAGTGACATTTGAACAGAAACTAAACCAAGTAAAAAACAGACCATGTGCATATCCTATGTGTTGCTAATATAAGGATGAGGATGATGGGTGATCAGTTACCCTTGTTTATAAAATGTCTTTCATTTTCTGTATCTTTACACAGACTTTGGGAGACAGTATAGGAGAAAGCAGCCAGTGGAGGGTAAGAGATAAGTGTCTTGGACACCACTGGCTTTATTATCATGAGAAAGTTAAATTATTTCTCTAGCTCTAGACTATCTAGATAAGAGATAGACCACTTTGACCACTGTGTCTTCCAGTTAGGCATTACAATGATATATTTATATTTTTATGGATAAGGAAGAAATAAATGGAAAGAGCCTTAGAAGTAAGTTGCTATAAACAGAAATTATATTGAGGCCAAAATAGCGTTCTTTATGTAGGCTACAAATGAAGTCTGGCAAGATGGAAATTTGATGTTTTACAGCACATATTATGGTCAAAGACATTAACTTCTTACACAAATTAAGTCAAGAAATAGATTCCAATTATAAGAGTACAAATGACTTCACAAAGGAAGACACATAACAGATAATATGACCATAATAAAATCCATATCAGTTTGTACTCTGCTCATAATTGAAAATTATCTAACTTTCACAACCTCTGCTTTGTGAAAGAGTAACACGATTCTTTAAATCAAGTGCACAACAATATTTACAACAGAGATAATGATTTGCATATTTCAAATATCAGTACTTTAGATCAGGTTAATAGCTGTATAAACTTTAAATTTCCACCTCATAAAACAATCATATATAGTGCCTTAATCTTCTATAGCTTTTAGTTTACAGTCATTTTCACAGCCAGTACTATAACATGATGAAATAATCAGCTCCACAGCCAGAGCTGGGTGTTCAGGAGAAAGAGAATCACTGGCTGTGAAACAATCCAGAGAGTCTACTCCATTAACTCGACTCATGTCATGAAAATGTTATATAGTGAGAGATGCAACTTTATTTGAAGTCATATATTCCCACTCAAGACCGGATCTTCATTTTTATGTGCCTCTGTTATGGCTTTGGTCTCTCAGATTAGACCTGGCTAAGCAAGTAGACAATGCAAATATTTGGCTGGCTTATGAAACAGGAAATCAGTATCTATAAAAACCCAGTTGTTAACATGGGTAAAAAGTATCTTCACTGCACTGAATTTTATTTCATACTGATATACAGGAATTGAAATTCATACTTTCACATGTATATAAGTATACAAAACTCCTGGCACCTAGAGGACTGGAGGGAGGGCAGTGGTGAAGAAAAAATGTCAAAGTTGTCCCTTACATTTACGGTTTGACCAGTTGTGTATTTGTTGGTACCACTTACTGAGAAAGGAAGAACATATTTTGGAGTTAAAGGCAATAAACTCAGTTTTAGGTAAAAAGTTGAAAAACATTAGTTTTGGGAAATATATAAATGTGAACTAGAAATATAAATTTGCAAGTCACTGATGTAAAAATAGTAAATGAAACCATAGGAATACATCACCTTAACTAAAGAGCTCTTAAAATTCTTCAAGACAATAGCTGCTATTCACTGATGGAAGAGAACACATTGATAGACTTTTTTTTTAACTAGAGAAAAAATGTGACAACCTAGTCCAGACTAAATAAGAATTTTTATAGGGCATTCTGCAATTAAAATGTAAAGGGAGGATGGAAAAATACTAAGAAATTAAAAATATTACCTCATAATTCTAGACTGTGCAAGAAGGTCAATGCTTTAGCCACAGAATTAGTGTTTAGCAACTATCATATCTTCCATGAGAGGAATTTTTAAATTCAGCCTGCAAGTAAAGACTGAATAATGACATCCAAGTACAAATATGGACATTCTGTTCCAGACTATCAAACGAAAGTATAGCAATTGTCTTTTAAATTTCCTTAGCTCAGCCTGGATTATATACTTGAATTCTTGGGAGTAACATTTAGTTCATATTAAAAGTTACCCTTATATATATAACAATCAAAGTAGCAAATATTAGCCTTCCAGGTTTATCACTTCCCTATTTCCACACTGTTCTTCATAGCAGACAGCACTCAAAGGAAAGGGCTCTTGCCAACCCCAACCCACTTCCTGAAACATTGGAAGCACTTAGAAGCTGATCAGCTCCACTGTACCAACTTAGAAGCTGTCCAGGCCCCACAGGTCTTCACTTAAATGCACAAACCTTCCTCATTCCTTACCTCACAAATCTCTTAAATCATGAAAGTAGTGTGTCCTGTGATAGGTTTCAGAGGTTAAAATCACCTAGAACAATCTCCTAACCTATCTACCAGGCTTCACATAGACAAGTGATAACCTATTGTTTTTGAGAAGAGTAAATTAGTTTTTAAAAGTTCCAATGTCTTATATATTGTTAATATGTATTATAAACTTAGTGCCCAAAATTAAAATTCTGATTTACTCATGATTTTTGGACATCTTCTTTAATTTATATCTTAGAATATTTTATGAATTGAACATTTTCAAAGACTGAACCTAATAAAGAAAAGCCTCAAGTCTTTCAAAAAAAAAAACAAAACTGGGGGTAAAAAAAGCTAGGCCATTTGTGGCCTAGCAAACATTGAATAAAAAGGCAACCCATCTTAATAAAACCAAGGAAAATGCTTCAATTCTATTTGCATGACTAGTAATCCAAAGCCCTTTTGTTTCCAAACTTGTATAAATAATCTAAGAACTTTATTTAATGTGGGAAATGTTAACTCACGAAGCATTCTTTAAAAAACAAAAAAAGTGTGTGTGTGTATATATATATATATATACACATGTACCTACCTTAGGAATAGGATTCAGCAGCACTACACCTGATTTCTTAGTGATGACCTGTTTTGTTGTATAGTGATGTTCTATAAGTTGAGGAATGTTTGAAAAACCAGTGCCTTCAAATCGATACAAATTCTGGAGAAAGAACAATAAAGTAAAATAAATATAAAGTCATTGCTTCAGCATGACTGCATTCATCAACACATTAAGTTCCATTTGAGTTCTATTTAAAAACTATTCTTGCACAGTGTGTGAATACATTTAACACTTCTGAAGTATGTATTTAGAAATGGTTAAAAGTAAACTATGTGAGGTAATGAATATGTTAATTATCTTCATCTTGGTATTCATTCTACAATGTATATCAACCAATTACATTGTATACTTTAAATATATACAATTATATCTGTCAATTATTTCTCAATAAAGTTAAATATATGTATGTATACTGTTTCTCCCTTTGCCTTCCTTCAGCCAGGGGATATATTATATTGTTCTATTACTTTACTCAAAATTCTTATTTCCCTCAAAATAAAAGCCAAGTCTTTACCATGGTCTATAAAACTCTGTATGATCTGTGCGCTGTTATCTCTCTTACCTCATCTCTTACCACTTACCTTGTTCCACTGTAGTCACACTCATTTATGTCTTGTTTTAGAAATGTACTATATGCATTCCTTCCTTAGGATGATTACATTTGTTAATATACTTCATCAGATGCCCATATGGGTTGTGCCTCCCTTACTTAAAGCCAGTCTTTCATCAAATGTTACTTTTTCAGTTAGCTCTACTCTGGTCACCCTATACAACATTCATTATCGATTTGCTCATCCCACCTATGTTCCTTACCTCCTTTTGCTTACTGAATTTTCCTCCTTAGAATTTATCACTTTCTAACATCATATATATTTCAGTTACTTATTCTGTTAATTGTCTATCTCCTTCTCTTCTAAAATGAGAGCACATGGAGTGATACATTTTTACATTTATTTTGTTTATCACAGTATCCCCATGGTCTAGAACAGTGCCTGGCATATATTGACTGGATAAATAAACAGGTGTCACTGAATACAATGCAATGCATATAAAATGATTGTAAAGTTAAAGCAACAAGTAAGACAACTAAACGTAGAAATGAATACTGGAAAGTTCATAATCTCACATAAACGGAAGACACTGAAGTACAAAGTTTCACAAAAAGTAAGTAATGAGATAAAGTCCACACAGAATGAAATTTCAAATCAGACACTAGTGTTATAATGTCTTATATAAACTTCAAATGTACCCCATATAAGTAGAAAAATAGTAAACAAAATAATGGTGATTTTCAGTTTCCTTTCCTTTCAAAGATTTTATTTATTTATTAGAGAGGGGAAGGGAGGGAGAAAGAGAGAGAGAGTAACATCAATGTGTGGTTGCTTCTCATTGTGGCCCCCACTGGGGACCTGGCCTGCAACCCAGGAATGTGCCCTGCCTGAATTGAACCTGAGATGCTTTGGTTCGCAGCCCGTGCTCAATCCACTGAGCTATGCCAGCTAGGGCCTTTTCTTAATTTAAAAATATATCTAGCTTTTCACTGAAAGGCAGTTTTCTGCCATTGGACATAGTAATGGTGCTGGACCGACACAGTGAGTAATGCAGGCAGTAGTACTTCCTCCATGGGTTGAAATAAGAAACTGATCCATAGCAATTATGTTTAAAGCAACCTGAAGTTCTGAGTCTGAACACAGTGCAGACCATAAAACTCACTTTCTTAAAGATGAAAAGAATGAATTTAAAAATGACGTTAAGACTGTGTGCTTATGAAGCAACTAAAAGGTCAAGAGTAGTATAGTCATTAAAACTGTTGAGGACTTGTTTCTTGATACAGTCAAAGTTCTGAATATTATATTTGATCTCCTACAGATCTGTATAAATTTCTTATAGCTCAGATAACCTGAGGTTTGGATCATATACAGAAGGATTTTTTTAAATGTCTTTCTACATGCTTTAACAATAAAATGACAGAGAATTCAGACCAACTTTCAAATAAGAGACTGCTCTTTGAATAAGATTGTTTCTAATGATCTCTCATATGAATTCCAAAAGAAGCAAAAAAAAATTGTAGTATAGAGTAAATGTCTACAAAGATCATTTTGTTGTTAGTTGTATATCATAAATATCACATAATATATCATTTGAAAAATAAGAAGTAAACATAGAAATACATGACTCAATTTTATAAAATAAAAATTATATAGATATTTGTATAATTAGATTACATTTTTTGATTTTTCAAAGACTATACACAAAAGTCATAAGGGGACTGCTATTGTAAAGCACATATTCCATTATACATATTTTGAATTTCTATCAAAAGTATGTATTACTTCTGTTTTTAAAACATTTACTACAGCTAGAATTGTTCCTGAGTTATTACTGTGCTAATAACTCAGAATCATACACACATATAGATGAAAAACACATAAAAACAGACTTTGCTACTGTACATATTTCGAAAAGACTAAGGTTAAGAAGGAAGTCAAAGAGAACAGAATAAGCACACAGAAATGAGAAGGGGATTCAATGTGTGAAGTTGCCTCAGTAGATCTCCTGAAACAAAACCAAGGATAAGCAGGCTTGAGGAAAAAAACAAATGTGAAAAAAGAAAAAATAATTTCTGAAAAAGGCTAAGATGAATAAGCTGAATAAAAACAAAGAGCTGAATAAAAAACAAAATACTAAGACACTCCTATTTTTTTGGTAAAATACGTAAAAATAGAAAACATAAACTTTAGCTTTTTAAAATAAAAATGGCATATTGAATAATTATAAATAACTAATTAAACCAGTACACAGGAAGAACTTGTGGGAGCTTGGGGAATAATATTAATAAGGTTTCGTATGGCTTTTCCTAGTTAACTTTGTTCATATTCAAATAGCACTGCAAACTTAACTACCTTAACTTTCCCAGTTAAAAGCTCTCACAGCACTGCGTATCTTTACAGGACTTACTATAGTTTATAATTATATACAGTGTGTGTTTATGAATGACTGTGGGCATTCCTCTCAGACTGTAAGCTCCCCCATCATATTCCTGGGCCTTAAGAACACTCATTCCATTAGTGTTTCCTGGAAATTAACAATAATAAGGTTTTAGCCCTGGCTGGCATAGCTCAGTGGATTGAGCGCAGGCTGTGAACCAAAGCATCACAGGTTCAATTCCCAGCCAGGGCACATGCCTGGGTTGCAGGCCATGGCCCCCAGCAACCGCACACTGATGTGTCTCTCTCTCTCTCCCTCCTTCCCTTCCCTCTCTAAAAAAATAAAGAAAGAAAATCTTTAAAAAAAATAATAAGGTTTTAAAATGGCTTTATTTTATTGTTAAGAAGGAAGTTTCCTAAGTCTGTGTGTCAGTGGCAGAGAAAATGGTATATTAATGACAGTGTCATTTTGACTACAAGGTACTTACTGCCTTCCTTTGAGTCCTTAAATGGTTGGAGTAGAATGGTTAAATAATCCTAAGTGCACAATAATAAGGCCACACACTTGGAATTAACTGTCATCCAAACAAGTTTTGGATTTCTACTTGCTTTCACTTAGTCTTCCAAAAGTCCCAAAGCATGAAGTTAAAGATAGTTTAAAGAGCCTGAGATGGTGGCAACAAAACAAAGTATGTAAACCTAATGGGTACATTCAGAGACTAAATCCATCAGCTCAAAATGGAATTTAGCACACAATAGAACTCCAATAAATATCTATTGAATGAATGATATTTTAACGCATTGAACTAATCCCAAATTTCACATAGTAATCACAACCTCCCCTTTTGTGTTACGGTTGTTACTGGCCCATATTCCTCGGTCTTACACAGTACTTGCTCAAATAATATTTCCTGAATGAATGAAAGAAGTAAGAGATGATACAGCATTACATAGAGGTTTTCCTATTTAAAGCAGTAATATTAATAGTATTTATGGTAACTATTTCAATCAATCAGAACTAGTTTCTGGATTCAACGTCCAGACGTCAACGTTTAGACGTTTTTTCATTTCATCTCCTTACAACACATAATATAGTATTTTATAAAATGAGTGTTTAGATAAACACTTATTTGTCAGATAAACAAATTAGAAAACTATGACTTGGCACTTTCCTATAATAGCATCAATTTTTTTCCTGGAGTACTTCTGTTTTAGCACATGTATTTTCTGTTTTATCATATACAAAGATCTGATAAATATATATTTACTTATCAAATAGAACAAAGCTATTTAAATTTCTATGAAAATCTATTATCATTTTATGATACAAACAGTTTTAGGTACAAACTCTAAATATCATTTTATATGAAGCACCATAAACAGGACAGCAATTATGGAACAGATCAGTAAGTAACACTAGAAATACACTTAGATCAGATATTCTTAGATATGTTTAATATATCTGGCTTTATGAAATTAATATGTTTAATATCCAATAAAAAGGTACAATTCTTCTTGTGTGAACCAACTAAAACAACAGATATTCTCTGCTAGTGTAGTAAAAATGTAAAACTTGAAAGTGTGTCCATCTTGATCAGTTATAATGGCAGAGGTTCACACCATGTTAAGAAATGACTATGATATGCATAAAAAAAATTAAGATTCAAAACAACTGTCACACTAGACTTCAGCTGACAGAGGCACTATTGTTAAAAATAACATTATTCGTGATCATTAAATACCTCAAACCTAAATACAGGCATATCTCAAAAACATTGCAAGTTTGGTTCCAAATCACCACAATAAAGTGAGTATTATATATAAATTTTAAAACACTTTCATTACTATTTAAATTTCATAAATAAATCTCATTGAAACAAAAAAATTAGTTAACTTTTCCAATTATATCAATATTTCCTACCAAGTAATATTTGTATTTTCTTTCAAGTCATCAAACAGCTATAAAAATACCTAATATTTGCATAGCACTCCACAGCTACAAAGTATACATTCAGTAAACTGATTCTCACAATCACTATATAAACTATTAACTCCATTATTTCCAATGGCACAGAGCTTACAAAGTGAAGAGCTCCGACTGGAACCCAAGTCTTCTCAGTCTAGTGCTTACTTCATTGACCGAATGTTTGATAGTTTTCCATTCTCTAAAAT